GGCAGCCATTTATGCTGTGGCGCCCGGGGAGCAGTTGGGGGTTCGGTGCCTTGCTCAAGGGCACCTCAGTCGTGGTATTGAAGGTGGAAGAGAGCACTGTACATTCACTCCCCCACCTACAATCCCTGCCGGTTCGAGACTCGAACCCGCAACCTTTGGGTTACGAGTCCAACTCTCTAACCATTAGGCCACGACTTCATTGGCTGTGGGTCATCGCCGATGTAGTTTTCAGTCAGAAATCATTGCACACAGCATGATTGTGAATCGCCGACAGCTATAGGTATCTAGCATGCCAAATATTTCACGGGCGTCGGCGACGTGTCGGTGATTTCCTCAGATCGCGTCTTTGATAATTCACACTGTGTGATTGTCACTCGCGTTAACGAGCACCGATTTGCCTCCGATTTCGGGCATCTGTCGGCGATTTTGCAAAACCTGTCGGTGAGTGAAAAATCAGGCTAAAATCATGCAGTGTGAACTCGGCATTAGTTTCATTAAGTTTTTAGTTTTTATTTAGGATTTATAGGCTTTTGGTCATGTTTTGCCATGTCCTTTTCTAAATGAACCCATTAATATAGCTCCCCAAAGGGTAAGAATAAAAAATGTGTTTTTGAAGAAGAAAAAAAAATGAGCTGCTTATATTTTTGTGGAAACTGATAAATCCCCCCCCCCAGGATTCTTTAATGAATAGAATTAAAAAATATATATAATAATAATAAAATTTATTTGAAATAGAAATATTTTGTAAAATGTTTTTACTGTTACGTTTGTCTCCTTACTGAGTAAAAGTACTGATTTCTTTCAAAATGAATCTTATTGGCCCCAAACTTTTAAATCATGATGTAAGTAGTTGATGATTTATATTAAAACCTCAATTTCATAAATTTTTGTGGTGTTTCTCAATAATAAAATGCTCTCGGGTCACTTACTGTATCCCATGCCTTGAATGAAGTACTTAAACGCTTCTGTCAGTTTGCTGGGCTGGAGAGACACACATTTCATTTACACACTGCACAGATTTCATTTGAATAAATTAATTATATTCATAAACAATGATGTGATGTGACTTACCTGAGTCAGCTGTGGCATCCCGCCGGCATCAGCCATCTGAATAAAAACAACAGAGTTCATATCAAAGTGTACTTGCTCTTTGTGACACAAACTGGTCTTATTTTCTAATAAGATAATAATTTTAAGATTATTAAATTAACAAGTTATTAAGATTTTACAATTTAATGATATGTTATGCTTATTTTTGCTCTTCTTTAATAAAATCTAATAAAAGTACAAAATCAGACATGAAACAGGTGAAGTCCAAACCTTAAGGAATGAGGTCGTAGTTGGGTCTAGTTTGCTGTTGCACTCCACCTAGTGGACAGAAACAGACGTGCAGTGAGAAGAATCGTGGGTTACTGTGGATAGGTGTTGACGTTTTTAAGACTGACTGATATAAAGACTTACCGCAGCTTCCTCATATGGAGCCTGATCACCAACCACCAACATCACAGGACATCTGAAAAACACAGCCACGTGAGGAGACATCACAAGAGAAACATATATAAGAGAGAATGGCTTTATTTTTCATCATTCTTACTTGAACGTGTTATTCCTCTCAATGTCCAGATCTCTGCGACTGTAAGGCAAAAAGAAAAACATAAAAGTTTGATTATCAAGGTGCCCAAATTGCATTTCTTGCATTGTGTTATCTATCATGCTTGTTGCATCCCACTTAACTGCATCAAACTGATAATAACCAAGGCTTTACCAAAACCAAATAAAACATTTAAACAGCCAGAAGCATATGGCGATGTATGTATAAAATATTGCTTTATCACTGTTTTCTTTGTGTGCGTGTGTGATTTTACCCTTGGTAGCTCTTCCAGAAGAGTTCGATATTGATGAGGTTTGGCGCTTTAGAGAGTCTCGCTCTGTGAGTCTGGATGAGCTCTGTGTTTGCCGACAGCTCTTCCTGAAAACAAACAAATACACACACAACAAATCAGTATTTCTCCTTTTACACACAGTCATCTTTATAATGGATGGGAATTACTGTATACAAAATGATTACACAGTTCTCTGGAATACTTGATTCTGATTGGTCAGTCGCATCATTCTGTAGTCAAATATTTCTGTATAATGATAGTAAACTGTAGAAATGGACAATTTTCCCACACAGATGTTCTTGTTCTGCTCAAAAGCCTCTTTTCCTTACATACCAATGTAATTTAATGTAAAATCAATATTTCAAGTCCAATTATTCATTTTTTTTGTTAAGGCAAGACACCACAGGTGAATAGGGTAAAACTTTAGATATCACCATACTTATCCAGTTAAATAATCACAATATACAATGGCAAGGCAGCCATTTATGCTGTGGCGCCCGGGGAGCAGTTGGGGGTTCGGTGCCTTGCTCAAGGGCACCTCAGTCGTGGTATTGAAGGTGGAAGAGAGCACTGTACATTCACTCCCCCACCTACAATCCCTGCCGGTTCGAGACTCGAACCCGCAACCTTTGGGTTACGAGTCCAACTCTCTAACCATTAGGCCACGACTTCATTGGCTGTAGGTCATCGCCGATGTAGTTTTCAGTCAGAAATCATTGCACACAGCATGATTGTGAATCGCCGACAGCTATAGGTATCTAGCATGCCAAATATTTCACGGGCGTCGGCGACGTGTCGGTGATTCCCTCAGATCGCGTCTTTGATAATTCACACTGTGTGATTGTCACTCGCGTTAACGAGCACCGATTTGCCTCCGATTTCGGGCATCTGTCGGCGATTTTGCAAAACCTGTCGGTGAGTGAAAAATCAGGCTAAAATCATGCAGTGTGAACTCGGCATTAGTTTCATTAAGTTTTTAGTTTTTATTTAGGATTTATAGGCTTTTGGTCATGTTTTGCCATGTCCTTTTCTAAATGAACCCATTAATATAGCTCCCCAAAGGGTAAGAATAAAAAATGTGTTTTTGAAGAAGAAAAAAAAATGAGCTGCTTATATTTTTGTGGAAACTGATAAATCCCCCCCCCCAGGATTCTTTAATGAATAGAATTAAAAAATATATATAATAATAATAAAATTTATTTGAAATAGAAATATTTTGTAAAATGTTTTTACTGTTACGTTTGTCTCCTTACTGAGTAAAAGTACTGATTTCTTTCAAAATGAATCTTATTGGCCCCAAACTTTTAAATCATGATGTAAGTAGTTGATGATTTATATTAAAACCTCAATTTCATAAATTTTTGTGGTGTTTCTCAATAATAAAATGCTCTCGGGTCACTTACTGTATCCCATGCCTTGAATGAAGTACTTAAACGCTTCTGTCAGTTTGCTGGGCTGGAGAGACACACATTTCATTTACACACTGCACAGATTTCATTTGAATAAATTAATTATATTCATAAACAATGATGTGATGTGACTTACCTGAGTCAGCTGTGGCATCCCGCCGGCATCAGCCATCTGAATAAAAACAACAGAGTTCATATCAAAGTGTACTTGCTCTTTGTGACACAAACTGGTCTTATTTTCTAATAAGATAATAATTTTAAGATTATTAAATTAACAAGTTATTAAGATTTTACAATTTAATGATATGTTATGCTTATTTTTGCTCTTCTTTAATAAAATCTAATAAAAGTACAAAATCAGACATGAAACAGGTGAAGTCCAAACCTTAAGGAATGAGGTCGTAGTTGGGTCTAGTTTGCTGTTGCACTCCACCTAGTGGACAGAAACAGACGTGCAGTGAGAAGAATCGTGGGTTACTGTGGATAGGTGTTGACGTTTTTAAGACTGACTGATATAAAGACTTACCGCAGCTTCCTCATATGGAGCCTGATCACCAACCACCAACATCACAGGACATCTGAAAAACACAGCCACGTGAGGAGACATCACAAGAGAAACATATATAAGAGAGAATGGCTTTATTTTTCATCATTCTTACTTGAACGTGTTATTCCTCTCAATGTCCAGATCTCTGCGACTGTAAGGCAAAAAGAAAAACATAAAAGTTTGATTATCAAGGTGCCCAAATTGCATTTCTTGCATTGTGTTATCTATCATGCTTGTTGCATCCCACTTAACTGCATCAAACTGATAATAACCAAGGCTTTACCAAAACCAAATAAAACATTTAAACAGCCAGAAGCATATGGCGATGTATGTATAAAATATTGCTTTATCACTGTTTTCTTTGTGTGCGTGTGTGATTTTACCCTTGGTAGCTCTTCCAGAAGAGTTCGATATTGATGAGGTTTGGCGCTTTAGAGAGTCTCGCTCTGTGAGTCTGGATGAGCTCTGTGTTTGCCGACAGCTCTTCCTGAAAACAAACAAATACACACACAACAAATCAGTATTTCTCCTTTTACACACAGTCATCTTTATAATGGATGGGAATTACTGTATACAAAATGATTACACAGTTCTCTGGAATACTTGATTCTGATTGGTCAGTCGCATCATTCTGTAGTCAAATATTTCTGTATAATGATAGTAAACTGTAGAAATGGACAATTTTCCCACACAGATGTTCTTGTTCTGCTCAAAAGCCTCTTTTCCTTACATACCAATGTAATTTAATGTAAAATCAATATTTCAAGTCCAATTATTCATTTTTTTTGTTAAGGCAAGACACCACAGGTGAATAGGGTAAAACTTTAGATATCACCATACTTATCCAGTTAAATAATCACAATATACAATGGCAATTGTTTTGTATTACAACTTTTCTAGAATGTTATGTTTAAATATGCAAATGAGGAGGTGTCTAATTAAATATGCACTACTTTGCATAAATTTCCAGATTATAAATCTGAACAATGGATGAAGTCAGGTTCAAACTTCTTGTTTGATTTTGTTGACATAACAGAGTTAAATATTTTTACAGAAGAGATCTTCTTTTTTTCTTTTTATCACTATATTAATCAGAAAATAGCGTCAATAGATATATATATATATTTTTAGGAATACAATGCTATATGTAATCAGGTGAATAATATATGAACAAAGCCCTCTATAAATACCTTCAGAATATAGACAGGAATAAAACAGTAACATTTGGTGTATCTAAGTGATACTAAAGTGGAGATAGAAACTCATTTTGAGAAAACGGCCTTTAAAGATATGTATTGTAATTGAAGTCCACAGACGCAAACAGATAAAGTGCAATAATAAAATCAGCCGAATGAGATATGTAGAAACCCATCTATAAAAACCTTCAGAATATAGAGAGGAATAAAACTGCTAAGTTTTTTCTTTGCTGAGCAAACTATTTGTGCAAAAATGTGCATATGAAGAGAGAAATGAAACAAATGATCACCTTTGACAAGGTCCTTGAACAGCAGATGTGTAACTTTGCTTATGTAGCCTCTCTGGGTTTTGTTAAAATGAGCCGTGTTCCTTTTGGCGAAGAAATGATTCCACTTCCAGAGCCAGAAGCTTCTGATTATCAAAACAGAAACACAGGATGATCGCAGCTAGAAGCCTCTCACTGACAGATTCCAACATTACGAATAAATCAAATAAACTTCAAGATTAGCTTAATTCCATAAAGACCACTGCATCTAGAAGTGGCGTGACACATTTAGTGGGTTTCAATGGAGATCAAAAGCTTTCTGAAGTTTGTGTACCTTTTAAGGCAAAACACCCAAGGTGAATTTGGTAAAAAAAAAAAGGGGAAAATGCAAACATTTGTTTTGAAAAACTGAACATTGGATCAAGCCAGTTTCAAAATGCTGGTCTCATTTTGTTGACATATTAAAGTTAAAGGTTTTTACTGGGGGGATCTTGGATATCTCTTTTTATCACTCCACAAAATCAGAAAATATTGACAACAGCCAGAGAAAAATACATGTATAAAACCAGGCGAATGATATATGATCGAACCCCTCTATAAAAACCTTCAGAATATAGACAGGAATAAAACTGTAAATTTTGGTGTATGCAAGTGTTACCAAAGTGGAGAAAAAACTAATTTTGATAAAAAGAAAAAGGCATTTAAAGGATTATAACTGAAATCTACAGAAGCAAATAAGATAAGCGTAATAAAATAAATTCTTAAATGTGTATTTATTATTTTTTTTTCAACTAGTCTGAAAGAATACATATTGTGGATATAGCCCAAAATCTCAAATTTGACCATAAGAAAATGAGAAAACAATGTTTTTGGCCTGTAGTGTCTTGCCTTATGCAGCAGTATTATAAGCATGATAATATACAGTCAGCCGTTCATTATCAGAAAAATAATCTACATGATCAGAAGCCCTCCCATACATATATATCTCTCTAACAAAGACAAACACACACTCAGTCTAATCTAATGTCCTAGAAGCAGAAACACACACCTGACTGAAGAGGTGACTCAGGATTTGGTCTGTGAGGGAAGACGTCAGATTGGAGAGCTGCAGAAGAAACACAAGCTTTTCGAGTCATTTTCGGGTACATACTGACTGCTATTATTAATCAGACAGTGACTTCTATTATTAATCAGACAGTGACTTCTTATAGCCTACAGCTGACAGACCTTCTGTGCAGCCCAGTCCATCCAGCCTCGTGCGTTTGTGTCGACATTGATCAGAACGAGCCCTTCCACGGCCTCAGGGTTACTCAACTGTGAGCGAGAGTGAAGAGAGGACGTAAAGCAGAGCTCAGTGAATATAAAGACACTGTGGCTCAGTTTCATCTACATAGACAGAATCTGAAGGCATCAGAGGCATTTTTCTGTTCAAAACACTGCAAAATGATGTTGCCTTCCTTTTTAGCCAAAATCTAAGGCAGAAATACAGGTTTCCTTTGTAAATAAGGCTAAATTAAAATGTATGGTGATAATCTACATCGAAGATGACTGATGGAGTTTATTTTGAGAGTTTCTAATTTTTACTGTACTGCATATTTAAACAGTCTGCAAAGTTAAATAATATTTAATGCCTCAGTGTGTTTTTTTTTTTTTTTTGGCCGGCAGAGGGCATAATTCAGTCTCTGAGTGTCTGCTTGTGTTATATATGTTGTATTTAAACATATTGATGCAGCAGGTTTTAAAAAACTACACTTTAATTGTTTTACGGTCAAGAGAAAGAAACTAAACCATGACTAAATTCCAAGACTAAAACCCAAAATATAGAAAGAAAGGGGCCACAACATCGAATAAGGGTCAAACTGAACTCCAAAATATATAAAAGTAGTGAAATTATTTGATGATAAAGCAATAAAAGGGGAAAAATTATAATAAATTAGATGGACAGCAACAAAATAGTTTTCATTTCAGAAGTCTGGGCACCTAAATGAAAACTACTGATAAAAGTGTTTATTTAGAAAAAAGTACTATTCCAACCAATGAAACAATAATAATGCATGTGATGGTCAGATGTGTAACTCACAGTGAACTTGGAAAGTATGTAAGCGCCAGCTCCGACTCCAACACCGATAACTGTGCGGAAACTAAACGAGAGGGAAGTTATAAGCACTGAATCATATGAACATAAGAACTATTGTCAAGTATATGTGTAGTTAATTTGTAAAGTATAATTGAAGTGTCACTAATGAAAATTTAAACATGCAATGACTTGTTTAACTCACTTAAAATACTGCAGGACAGCTGGAAGCATATCAGAGATCTGATCCATAGTTGCATACTGGTATCTGTTAGAGAAAATAAGACATTTTAGGACTCTTATCAAGAGACACAGCAGCCTGTGGACACGTGAAAGCATAAAAATAGTCTCTGAGTCACAATTTGCATCAAACATGAAAGACATAAAACCACTAACACCTTCTGAAGACACTATGACAGCTGTCAAACGCCATTTAATGCATTTTCATTTTTCACATTTTATCTAACACCCACACAGTCTCAGCAATCACACTCGCACACACACACACACACACAAATATCCACTTGTGCTATATCGTGCTCATCGTGTTTGCATACGATCACACCGATGGGATTATCATCAGCTGCTCAATTCAAATCTGCGTTCACGCTTTGGCTGGTGCTGAGGCAGAGATGCGCTCACGTCATTTATTAAAACTTTTCAGTATTTTCAACCATATGTGACCCTGGAGCACAAAACCAGTCTTAAGTCGCTGGGGTATATTTGTAGCAATAGCCAAAAATACATTGTATGGGTCAAAATTATAGATTTTTCTTTTATGCCAAAAATCATTAGGATATTAAGTAAAGATCATGTTCCATGAAGATATTTTGTAAATTCCCTACTGTAAATATATAAAAACGTAATTTTTGATTAGTAATATGCATTGCTAAGAATTTCATTTGGACAACTTTAAAGGTGATTTTCTCAATATTTTGATTTTTTTGCACACTCAGAAATATTTCCAGATTTTCAAATAGTTGTATCTCTGCCAAATATTGTCCGGTCCTAACAAACCATACATCAATGGAAAGCTTATTTATTCAGCTTTCAGGTGATGTATAAATCTCAATTTCGAAAAAGTGACCCTTATGACTGGTTTTGTGGTCCAGGGTCACATATAATGTTTATTTTAAGTTTCTCTCACTGTCGCAAATAAAGTGAAAAATGAAATTAAAAGTGTTGATTGCGGCATTGAATTTACAGTATATCTGCTCATGTTGCATCATATCTTCTTTTTACATGTTTTTGCAGAGTTGCGCATTAAACCAATCACAGGCGATTCTGTTGAGCTTATGAATGCAATGTCCAATCAGAAGCGTTCAGATTAGTCATCACTGAAACGCTGTGAAGGTTTGTTCAGTGAAAAGTGAAAAAAATACATGGCACGTACCCGGCAGGATAAATGGCCGCGCCGTCCTCTTGTCCCGGAGCATCCACATGGACCACAGTAAAGTTCTTCACGATCTCCTGCATCTCCTCAAACTTAAACAAGGTGGAGAAGCAGCTCTTACCTGACAGAGACAGACAACCAAAAATCATTTAATTTAATTATTTATTTAAAAAAACACATTTAATTTAACCCAAGGTTAAGTTTCTTGATTAACAGCACAATGTTGAGGGCTCATGATGACTATAGAAATCAGAACTCCTTTCATTTTGATATAGTTAAGCTGAGATAGGAGAACATATTTTAACATAGAAAAACTACACACACCGTAACACACATCACTGCTTCTTATGGTTACAATCATTCATTCATTCATTTTACTTATAAAGCATATTTGAAACTTCATAGTTGTCACACAACAAATAACACAAACAAAAAGGATAAAACAATAAAAACAATCATTAAAAAGAAAGTTAAACTTCCAAAGAACACCAATAAGACTTTAAACAATAAGGAATAGGCAGCATTATTTTTTAATGACAATTCATCAACTTTTACAGATTCATTGTCGTTTATAAAAAAAATGTGCCTTCCTTACTGAAACTGAAAAATGCGTTTCAATTGTATTTTTTATTTAATTTTATTATTATTATTAAAACGTTCTTTTGAGTCGAATCTTATTAATGAATCATTTGAACAGGTTCACAAAACTCACATCTGAATGAACTGTGCAATCTTAATCGAATCGGTTGTACAGTTGCTATTATTCTCTACTTATTAAACCAAGATCTGTTTCTTTTGGACATCTCAGTGTAGATGAAGCCTCACAGCACAATGACTACAGGTTCAGTTCCCTGGAGAACAAAGATTACGGTCACGACTCGCTTCTGATGAACTTGCAATAAAAGAATCTTCTAGCTAATACAACAGAAGATGTCTTATGTGTTTATTTTCATACTCATGCACTTTGTCTCCGTTTGGCTGGCTAAACACACTCATCAAGTGTTAACCACATGGAGTAAGTGTGAAGAGCTCATCTCTTTTAGCATGATGAGCAGAGCTGCCTTTAAACCATCTATATTATTATTAGATGCAGCGACAGTCATACTGAAAGAAATGTTTTAGTGGGGCATTTCCAAGAAACAATGTATATTTTCACACCTGCCTCTTTTCAACCCAATAAATATCAGCCCAGTGAGCGTCTCAGACACTTTCTGATCTTCGAGACTCTTTCATTCACACGAGCTCAAGAACAACACAAAGGTAAATATGCATTCAGTACAAATGACTAAAGTGCTGTAAAAAAGGATATAGGCTATAGTTGTTTTGTGAATGTACTGAAATAAAGTGGTTCAATTATTGACCAAATATCGTTCTTTTGAGCCGGTTCTCTGAAGTAACTTGTCAAGCTGATTCACAGATCGAACTGAATCGAACTTTAGTTCTGCACAGCCGAAGTAGCACCTCCGACTCAGAAAGAACCGACCAAAAAGGTTCGACCAACTATCGAAGGATTCTGTTGCTGACATAATGCACATGCGTGTTATCACCGAAGACTTGAACAACCTTAATGCGCAATGCAAGCAATGCAAGCTGATTAGTTTTATTAAATAGGCCTACATTTTTATTATTGTGCATGCAGATTATTGTAAGTTGTTAAACTAAATCATTGAGTTTACAAAACATGGTTTATTCTTTCTATATACTTTAGACATGCCGAACACACCCACATTTGTGCATCAATGTCTGTAACACGTGCTGTAAGTGCGAAAGTTTTAGGAAACGTATCCAAGATGTACTATATTGGTCTGTCATATCCGACATGAAGGGTCAGCGAATGAAACCGTGAACATCATGAACGACAATAATCAGCAATATGCATTCACACAAATAATTTTATTTGAATGTTTCAGTGATTTAATGACACTGAGTTGTTAGAAAATAAATGCTTATTGATATCATCCCTGACAGCACACATACATCATGGAGACATCTATTTGACATCTGCATTACATCTACAAGACATTTTTTAGAGTATTTGCTCATCTGCAATACGTCTGTAGGACGTTTCCTATCAGATGTCAAATAGACGTTTAGAAGATGTCTTTAAGATGTTTATGATTTAGAATGAATGTGAAACTGAGATCTTAGAGACGTCTATCAGATGTTTGTACACAGCAGATGCTTTCCAGATGAAGAGATCTTTAACAGACATCTTGCAGACGTACGCGTGCTATCTTGCGTGAACCGATTAATCTTTTTTTTTTTTTACCGGTTAATTGAACTGAACTGTCTGAAAGAACCGGTTTGCCAGACTTAGCATCACTACTGTAATGTTGTCCATGTTTTTTTTTTCTTTGTAATCATATCTTTTTCAGTGTAACACATGTAAAGTTGAATACTTATTTCTTTGTTCATGTAAAAATATACCTAGTGTTAAAATTAAGACAGTTATGTAGCTAGGTAACATTGGCCGACTGGCTGATTAGGCTTTCAGATGACCTAAATAGTCAATAATTAATAACTGTGACAATGCTGATGACTTGATAGAGTAACTTCCCCAACACGTCTCACTTTTGATGTTTGCTCTCTTATTAAATGTCTAACTAAATGTTCTTTCTCTTGTTGTCAGGATGAGATCAGAGGCTCTTCTCTCGCTCCTCTTCATTCTGGCTCTGAGTGACGGAGCGGATCGACAGAAAAACGACCGATATGCTGAGTTCAAGAAAAAACACATTCTCCCAACTGATTTCCAAACAGATAATAAAACTGCTTGGGTGGAACACCTAGTGAACAATGATCTCTGTGGTAGAACTCCAGTACAATCCTTTATTAAAGACAGTGAAGAAAATATCAAACTAATCTGCAATGGCTCTGGTACTAAAACAAGAGATAACTATATCAAAAGTACAAATCTCTTCCAAGTGTACAATATTGAAAGTGAAAACAGTACATCACAGATGTTAGAATGGGAGTGTAAAGTTAACTGTGCTACAGCCAAATATCATGTAATTGTTGAATGTCAGAAAAAACTACCTGTGCACTATCATGCACAACACATTGAAAAGAACAAACGTCCATACCCTTGCTATTATATATAGCATGATTTGGTTTTATCACAGTGGGAGTGAATAACTGAATGAGGCTTGAAACGCTGCATTCATTAAAAATTTTGCTATGCCACATGCATGTTTAAATGATATAATTCTAGAAACATCTCAGTTAAAGCTTTCTTTGCCGTGCACAGTTAACTATTATAAAATGAGCTGATCAAATGTATAGCTCGAAAGCAATGTCACTTTGAATAAAATCTGCCAAATGCATAAATGTATCTGTTCTTTTGTGAAAGCATTCTGATTATCTTTGAGAAACAAGGTATGCTATACAAAGTTACTCTTTTAGATGCTTAATCATAATGTCTGAAAATCATTTCATTACATCAAGTGCCTCAAAAGCTGCAGGATCGTTTCTCTTTTCTTCATCACGTCTGAAGTCTCATTCTGTCAGACCTGCACAACTTCTCACATGTGGCTGTTTATAAAAACACGTCACTTCGATTTATTTGCATGTGAATTTCCTAAGGGCAGAATCTCGAAGAAGCAAAAATGCCAATACATTTTGCATAATGGCAAGAAGCAAAAACAATAAAGGGTGTATTTTCACTCCTGCCTCTTTTCAACCTTATCAACATCAGTCCAGTGAGCGTTTTGGACACTTTCTGATCTTCAGCTCAGACTCATCGAGACTCTTTCATTCACACAAACTCAAGATCAACACAAAGGTAAATCTGCATTCAGTACAAAGGTGGTTAAAATGTGAACACTACAGTTTAGATACTGAAGGATCATAATTGTATTATAGCACCATATAGTACAGTATTTTCCTGAGGATCCTTTGCATCAAGAAGCTTCTTTTAAAAGCTTTAGTTTGAGTTAGATTGTGCAGTAAATGCTGACGTCAAACACAAACGGTTTGCATGTGAAGAAACCTTGTCAAAACAACTTCACACGTTTTTGTTCTTTCACAGCACAAAATACTGAAGAGGAAAGAGACTCGTCTAAACAATCGGTCTAATGAATAGGTAAACACACACCATTTTGTGACTTAGTTTTATGTTATGTTGTATTAATGCGCTCAGATATACTCAGATATCGGTTTTATGATGTATGCTGTGAATGTGTATCGTTATAAGGCTTTTTAATTATTGCACAAAATCTGTCAAATATGTTTAGCAGTGAAAGACTGGTGATGTGTAAGCACTAATTAACTGTTAAACTAACAACTATTTTAGCAAATAACTTTTGAACCAAATAGACCAGAATCCAGAATCCTCTACCACTTTGAATATTTGTTGAAAATGTATTTTTAAACTCGTCGTACGGCTTTAGTATGATGTGCTACAAATTTGGCTTAGATCATCTTCAGACCGTGCTGGTAAAAATCATCATGCTAAAGTTAAAAACATGTAATATTTGCGATTTATTATAGTTAGTGTTGCATAAGTTTACAGAATCAATTTGATGACAGCACCACTTACTGGCAATAATGAATAAATACTGTATACGCCATAATGAACAGAAAAACATTTTATCATTGGAATATATTATATCATATTATATTATTATTTTCTATCATATTATATTATATTGGAAACTGTATTTCTATGAGTATTTAGATTTTTCAAGGTCAATCATAAATAGGGTTGCAAAGGGGTGGAAAATTTCTGGTAAATTTCCGGAAACTTTCCAAAAATCCCTGGAATATTTTTTTAAAAAATCCTGGAAAGTTTCCAAAATTTCTGTAATGTTTCCGAAATTTACTGGAAATGTTCCACATTTTTGCCACCCTAATCATAAACCATATTGTCCAATTTTCAGCAAAACAGGGTGAGATTAATTGATTTCCATAAATGTTGTAAAAAGATGCTTGTAAAATATGAACAAATTTGAATCAATTTCATAAAGCCCTGAGAATATAACATTTACATTTAGTTTTTTTTTTGTTTTTTTTGTAAAAGTGCCACATACTAATGAAAAGTTATAAGCTATAAATATTGGTGAATCTCCTCAAAGTCTTTGAAACTAGAATGCAATGAGGAAACAATCTACAGTACGCATGCGAACGATATTGGTGTGTTTGGCCACATAATTGCTGCTTTTTGGCTTTATTATCTGGTTGAAATTGTTCATTAGCTTGTGTTCATTCTATTTGTAATTCTTTTAACTAACTGTGAATCTCTAAATGTCTGTCACTTTCCTGTTTCCAGGATGAGAGCGGCGGTTTTGCTCTTGCTCCTTTTCACACTCAGCGATGGACTGAATAATGTCAGTTTCAGCAACGATCAACTGGAGATGTTTTCAGACATTTCTTCTATCTGGGCACATCCCTGCCAGAGATCTCGGAATAACAACGCATACAATCAGTTTAAACGCAGACACATTCTCTCGCGTCAGTTCGACACCAGACGGACAAGCGCTTGGGCAGATTATCTCACGAGAATGAATCTTTGCAACAGAACTACTTTACAATCCTTCCTCCATGAAAACAACAACGAGAGCATTATAAGAATCTGCAACGGACGAGGCGTCAGATACACAGGAAACAAGTGCATCAGTATGAGAAGATTCAAGGTGTACATTGTTGAAAGCTTTTTGAGAAATGGACACTGTGAAGTTAATAGACTTCGTAATGCTGAATATTATGTGGTTGTTGCGTGTGAGGTCATTGAAAACCAATGTTTGCCAGTTCACTATGTGAGACAAAGTAACAGGCGTCCGTCCCGAAGCGGTCAGATCTGCAGACCGTAGGCAGAGTTTCCAAAAGCACTGAGTAGAACTCTTTAAATAAAACGTTGCTATGCCACATCTCAATAAAAGCTTTCTTTACAGAGCACAGTTTGGTTTTATGATCAAATATGTAGACTGAATGCAGTGTAAATCTCTTTAAATAAAAGCATCTTTCAAATTCATTAATGTATCTGTTCTTTTGTGAAATAATTTAGATTGTCTTTGATTCGAGACTCCTCAGCTGAATACGGTAAAAAAATGAATTAGTATTAGATTGATTACATTACAAATTGCAGACATTTTCATTATTACAAGATTTTTTTAAATATCTGAAAGTCTAAAATGTTCATTATGTTCTCCTCAAGTTCATTCTGGTGACTGTTTTGTTTCTTTGTTGTTTTTTTTTAATTCTGTGAATTTCCCTTGGGCAGAATCTCAAAGAAGCAAAAATCACACTACTTTTTGCTTACTGCCAAGAAACATATTTGCGGTACATTTTCAAAAAACGGGGTGTGTTTTCGCACCTGCCACTTTTCAAGCTAATAACTATCAGTCCAGTGAGCGTCTCAGACACTTTCTGAACTCCAGCTCAGACTCATCGAGACTCAAGAACGGCACAAAGGTAAATCTGCATACAGTAGAAAAGCAGCTTAAATGTAAATCTTACCGTTCTGAATAGTACAGTTTGTCTATTGCATCTGCTTCGTTGAATGATCTCACGTAAATCTAGCACAACTTGTCTTGAGGATTCGTCACAAAGATATTAAGCTTCAGTTGGAGATAGTTTAGGAATAAAATATGTATCTTTTGTTTGACTTAATCAGAACGCAGGCTTGAATCATTAAATGCTACACTATCATTCAAACGTTTGGGGCCAGTAATGGGGCCATATTTTGAAAGAAATTGATACTTTTATTTAGCAAGGATGCATTCAATTGATCAAAAGTGACAGTAAAGACATTTATAATGTTGCAAAAGATTTCTATTTAAGAAATTTCTATGTATCAAATAATACAGCATAATATATATATATAATGATTTCAACAAAACATATTCATCAGCACAACTGTTTTCAACATTTATAATAATCAGAAATGTTTATTGAGCAGCAAATCATCATATTAGAATGATTTCTGAAGATTATGTGACACTGAAGACTGGAGTAATGATGCTGAAAATACAGCTTTGATCACAGGAATAAATTACAGTTTAATATATATTCACATAGAAAGCAGCTGTTTTAAACTCTAATAATATTTCACTGTTTTTTATCAAATAAATGCATCCTTGGTCAGCAGAAGAGACTTCTTTCAAAATTAAAAAAAAAAAGCGTTTGAACAGTCGTGTTCGTTACACTGCAGCAAATGCTGATGCCAATGCTGTAAAAACAGTTTCACACATTTTTTTCTTTGACAGCACAAAATATCTAAGCATTTCTGAGAGGAAATAATACACATACAAGGATTGCAGTGTAATTCTCAAACACTAAACCGGTAAATTAACACTATTTTGTGACTTTGTTGCATATAATGAACTCAAATTCTGTCAAACTTTGTTGAAAATGTACTTTTTTTTCAAACTCATCAAACTGTTTAATCTGATCGTTTATGAATATGTATCAGATCATCTTTAGGCTTTGCTAGTAAAACTATTTAAAATGTTAAAAACATCAAATTCAATACATAAAAACTTAAAAGTTATTAAGTTACAAATTGGAGACAGAGCCACCTATTTGCTATAGTGGATAAATATGCAATCCATAGTGTAAAAATCAAGGACAAAAATCATTAATAATGTTTAAATAACTTGACTTTAAATGCACTGTTCTTCTCATAATTTCTATGAAATGTTTAAGTTCAATCATAAACCTTACTACTATATTGAACTGATTTGCATACTGTTGTTTATAACAAAGCCTGTCTAATCTTCAACAAAACTGGCTTTTTGTCTTTGAAGCACACACACACACACACACACACACACACACATATATATATATATATATATATATATATATATTAAGCACAAACTCACTTAATTTTTTTCGATTTCTCAGAAAACAAGACTTTGTGCCTTCATTTTGCACTTCAAGTAAATATATGTTGATTTAAAGGTGTTTAGATATTTGTGCATTTGGAAAAAGAGCCAAAAATAGTGAGGAAGTCATTGATTTTATTTTTGCACGACTATGAATTTAAGACCCTTTTGAGACCCGCAGACACCATGTTTAAGTAGTTCATGAGTTGGTGTTAAAGATTTCTGCTATCTGTGAAGCTCTAATCGTCTGTAGCCCTCCTGTTTTCAGGATGAGATCAGCGTTTCTCCTCGTGCTTTTCGTCACTCTGGTGTTCAGCGACGGATTGATGGATGCCACCGCCAGCGACGATCAGCCTGAGATGTTTTCTAACTGGCCAGCTCCCTGTCAGAGAACTTCAGATCTAAACGCATTTGCCGTTTTCATAAAGAAATACATTATCCAACCTCATTTCGACATGACACAGCCGCGTGCCTGGGCCAATTATCTAACGAAAGCGCGCCTCTGTGGTGTAAATCCGCACGACTCTTTCTTGCACAAAGACGACATCAATGCCATCTTACAAATCTGCAGAGGAGAAGGCCTCAGAGACGCGCAGAACATGTGCACCAGCAGGAGGAAGTTCAGAGTGTTCGTGGTTCAGAGCGTCTTGCGAAACGGACGCTGTGACGTTCAGCTTGAGATTGAACACGCTCACGTGATCGTGGCTTGTGAGTACATTCATCTAATCCACTGTGCTCCCGTTCACTTCGCAGGAATATCTTACACTGTGCCATCACCACATGGGCAGCGGTGCAGATAGGCAGCGCTTCCTGAAGAAATGACTACTTCATATCTAGAGGAAGAGCGTCATTATCCCAAACGAATGCAAACTTCTTACTTCACTTCTGCAGCTGCTTTTAGTCTTTTGAGGAAGCTTGCCATTCTTTTTAAAAGCAACCCTTGGTTTAAAATGTCCATTGGTGAATCTGTCAGTTCCAAAAGTGAGCAGTCATTCATTTTTTTTTATCAACTTTCAAGAAGGTTCCCTGAAATCTTTGTTTGCTTGCTTGAAGACATGATTGCTGTTTATTATTCAATTAGGATGTTTTTGCACAGTGTAATTATGAAAACAAAACATTTTTCAAGCTATTTTACATCTTTTTATATACTTTAAAAAGTGTTGTTGTTGTTGTTTTTTTTCTTTGTGCTAATATGAAATAAAATGTCTTGCCGTCTGTCCGTGTGTTTGTGAGTGACTTACTGTCCATTCCCACATCATGGAAGGTCAGTATGGCCGGTCTGCGGACGTTTCCGGCGCCGTGAACCATCACGTGCAGCACGCCGAGAGGCGTCTCAACACGGTGTTCCTACACAAACACACAGCAAGAGGTGAATGTTTAATAAAATCATGCTTACGCATATATAATTAAAGATAATGGAATAGCTGACATGACAAGTGTGACATCCTAAACCAGATCTAAACCTGACTTTAACAAAAATCTAGCATTAATGCACTTGCAGCTGCACATCAAAGATAGTAAAACTGGTGAATGATGTTTAAAGAAAAAATGAATGAACCTGTCAACTACATAAAACATGCATATCCATGTTCATCATGGATAACCAGCACATTTTTGACTCACCTGGCCTTGGTCCAGCAGTATTCGGGCCGCGATCTCTACGTCCTGCGTGAAAACAATCACACAATCTCAATATCAGCAGCAAAACTATTATTCAATTCAATTCAATTCAAGTTTATTTGTATAGCGCTTTTCACGATACAAATTGTTGCAAAGCAACTTTACAGCAAATTAAGTTTCTACAATATTATCTCTGTTTACTATGCACGTCTACAAAAAAATTCAAGTCCCAGTTGAAAGAAACAGCTTATTGAACCCACAACGATTTGGTTAGTTGCAAACATGTGATCCTAAAAAGGTACATAAGAAAAAAATATAAATTTTTTTTTTTATATATATATATATATATATATATATATATATATAATTGTCATGTATTAAAACAAACAAAAAGGAAATAAAAGAAAAGAATGAATAAAATGATAAGAGTGCAATCAATAAAAAAGTAAAAAATAAAACAATAAGCCTCTTAAAGTTGTGCATTATCATGATTTTACCACAGTTTTAGATGTACCGTTAGGCAAAACAACTACGATAAAATCACAGTATCACAACCTTAACTGCTGCGATTTTTTATCAAGCTGTGCCAACGATGATAAAATACAGTCTTTGAAGCAAATGTGCCGTTTTTCACACTAAACTAATTGACATAATGCAAAAGATGATAAAACAGGTGAAAAACATCTTTCAATGCGCATCTGTGGGATTTCCCCACCTGTTTTATAGTCAAGCAGCAAGTGAAAATCACTTAGTAAAATACCAGCACAACAATCTCCTCAGCAACACACACGATCTGAGGAATCATGCAGGTCTGAAACACAAGACTGTGTGCTAGAGGTTCCTTCTCAAGGTTTGGTTATGTATAAACAGAGGGACTTGATTTAGCAAACATCACTAACAAATAAATAACACAGTTCATTCATTTAATTGCAGGCTGTCTGGTTGCCAAGTAGCATTGCAATTTGGTGCATTAATGCCGATCTCAGGAGATGTTTTATGATCATCCAATTAGTGCGAATTATCCAAACAAATCATGATCCCAGTGTTTTTTTGACACTATACTTGCATATGTTGAAGGTCTTCAAATGTGCAGCAGGTGGCAGCAAAAGGTAAGTTAATAACAGATAAGTGCATATCAAGTCAAGTCAAGTCTGCTTTATTGTCAATTTTTCCACATGTACAGCACATACACACAGAGAATTGAAATTGCGTTACTCTCAGACCCTTGGTGCATACAGATAACACTAACAGTAGAACATAAATAAAGATAGATACAGATTTAAATATAAAATACAACTATACAATTATACAAACAAGGTAAAATGTAAAAAAATATAATAAGCAGCACAAGGCGCATGGCAGATAGAGTGCAAACCAGTGAAGTAAACATACTCACACTTACACACACAGTCACAATTACACTCACACTTACACTCACTCACACGTACACACTCACACTCACACACACACTCTCTCACACACACACTCACACACACACACACACACACTCACACTTACACACACTCACACACACACATACGTGCACACATAAGCCCACAAACACCCTCACCCTCACACACACACACACACACACACACACTTATACACACACACACCAGTTTCTGAATGTGACTGTAACACAGCAAATATGTACAATAAAAGCAATAATTAAACTACAATGCAGTAAAAAAGTGGACAGCAAGGAAGGGGTTACACTTTAAACATCAAAGAGTGCAAAACAGACATATCCACTCACACACACACACACACACACACACACATAAGTGCACACACAAGCACACAAACACATCCACACACACACACACACACACACATACGTGCACACACAAGCACACAAACACATACGCACACATACACACACACACAGGTGTGTGTCCGTATTCCGGCGGGACCATCAGGACTCTGCTGGGCTTAACTCATCTTAATTAGAAATTACAGCAAGAACAAATTAACATAGAGAGAGACAGATGACGTTAAGAATCTCAACTGCAGTGCTGGGAGGAACCCAGCTAACAAAAATATGTTCTAACAACTTATTTTAATGATCCTGTTGCGTTATGAAAACATTACTTATGAACGTCCAGGTCTTTTTGTTTTTTGTTCTAATGTAAAGACCAGATACAAGTCTATTAACATTACTGGGAGAATGTTCATTCATAACATTGAGAGAATGAATGAATTTCAATATGCCTCAGCCCAATATCAACCACAACATCTGTTTTTAATGAAACTTATTCTGGAGCAGAAGTAACAGAAAGAGACCGTCTGACCAATATGTAAAGTGACTAACCCTAAAACACAAAGTGAACTGTGGTTATACTGTATCTAAACCCAGTTATACTACAATAACAGACTGCAGTGGAAAAAAAATAATAATCAAAACTACACCACAGAGTTTTTTTGCAAACGATTGTACACAAACAGTTTAGAGCAAAATCTAATTGCTTTCCAAAAGTAATATGACCGAAAACAAATAAAAAAACACACTTTTGCTTAATCGCTTCAAACAAACTCTGACTATCTTTCAAAGGTTTGAAACCACAACCCAAGTAAATACAGCAAAACCAGACCAATACAGTAATTCATTCTTCCACAAAAGTGCTCAAATCATCAGTCCTGCACATTTTAAACATGATTTTGTAGACACATATAAACCTGGATATTGCACTGCATGCAGGCGATCTGACTTTGGCAATTCATCAATATGGGAAAAAAAGCCCAACTCTTTTGTAGGGTTTTTAAGTTGCGTAATGTTGCTTCTTCATGCAATCACAGCCTATAAAGCTGCATGTTTGTTCTGACGTGGCAGCAGTGTGTGTGTGTGTGTGTTCAGGCCTCAGCCAGGAATGATCAGGCTCCACCAGGGGCGTAGCCATCATTTCAGAAGTGCGGGGGACAGAAATGTTATATATATTAAAAAAATATATATAATAATAATATATATATATATATATATATAAAACATTACAATATAACATTTCTGTAATCCATATAACCTACCAGTCAAATGTTTTTGAACAGTAAGATTTTTAATGTTTTATAAAGAAGTCTCTTCTGCTCAACAAGCCTGCATTTATTTGATGATTGCTGTGATCAAAGCTGAATTTTCAGCATCATTACTCCAGTCTTCAGTGTCACATGATCTTCAGAAATCAGTCTAATATGCTGATTTGCTGCTCAATAAACTTTTTAAATTATTATTATTATTATTACTGTTTTTTGAGCAGCAAATCAGAATATCAGAATGATTTCTGAAGGATAGTGTGACTTGAGTAATGATGCAAAAAATTTAGCTTTGAAATCATGTTTAAAGTCTTCATGTTTCCAAACGTTTCTGTTTTTCTGAAAACAACTGTTTTCAACGCTAAAAACAATGCTTTTGTCCATATTAGGAATTTCCTCATATGACTTTCTGTGCGAGAGTGCCCTCCGGCTTCGAGTATGAATGAAACATACACTGCACAGTGTTTAGTGCTCCGTGATGTTCATCTCGCCTTATTCTGGATCCGAATAAAACATCAGATCATGCACAGACTATCCTGTCTCTTTGAATTTAAATCTATATTTATTCACACCGGCTCTTGAAAACCTCTATGCGAACACACTTGCCCGAAAAAGTGTGGGGGACGAATTTACGTGATATTAAAAGTGAGGGGGACACGTCCCCCGCGTCCCCCGCGTAATCTACGCCCCTGGGCTCCACAGCAACCCCTGTCTCTCTGATGCTGAAGTCGGACAGCAGCCCAATCGCTGACTCTCATCTGCAGTTGGTCAGTGGATTCGCATGAATGCATCATCATTCACATGCTAAAAATACTCCTGATGGGGAACAACACTCGCCAGCGAACTTTCACAAACACAACACAGCCATTCTCCAACTGTGAGAACTGTGACAAATTAAAGGCCTCCAAGGAAGAAAATCAATTACAATCCATTAACCCCATGCTGGGACAAAATACAGTACAAGACCAGTGTTAATGTGATTTTACCACAGTTATAGGGTGTTGTTAACCCTTTAAAGCTGCAAAGTGTTATTTCTAGTGTCCCAAGATGTGACTGAAAAAAGTGACACTCCAATGACTTTACAACTACTTAAAAATATGGCTTCAAATATTTAATTATGAATAAAAATAAAAGGAAAAAACACCGAAACATGATGCCCATGTCAAAAATAATTTTTAAAAAGTATATAAAAAAACAATATAATATAGACGATATAAAATTTACTTAAAATGTTACTTTAAGTGTATTTAAAGTACTTCCATGACTGTTTCTTAACACGCATAAGCACATTTTTAAATAAAGTCAAATTAAAAGTTTTACTTTAAAGTACATTTTACATGGTATACAGTAGTAAAAAACTGTACATGCAGACAATATATTATTAATTAAGTAAAAGGTTGCTTAAGTGTACATTAAAGATTTTTTTCATGGCTGTTTCTTAGCACACTTAAGTACACTTTTAAATACAGTCAAATGAAAAACATAAAATTGATGAGATTAAAGGTTACTTAAGTGTACATAAAAAGTTTAATGGCTGTTTCTTAGCACACTTAAGTACACTTTTAAATGATGTCAAATGAAAAGCATAAAACGTATGAAATTAAAGGTTACTTAAGTGTACATAAAAAGTTTTGGTTACACTATTTTAAGGTGTCCTTGTTACAGTGTAATTATACATATAAGTACTGAGTAATATATTATTAATTAAGTAAAAGGTTGCTTAAGTGTACATTAAAGTTTTTTTTTCATGGCTGTTTCTTTACACATTTACATTTTTATTTTTATTTTTTAAATATACTTGCAGACAATATAATATTCATGAAATGAAAGGTTACTTATGTGTACTTAAAAAGACTGCTTTCACACTTAAGTACATTTTAAATTATGTAATTTTAAAAGTTTTACTATAAAGTACATTTTAAATCATATATAGTTTCAAAACTACCTGCAGAAAATAAAATATCAAAGAAATAACAGGTTAATTAAGTGTACTTATAGAGTTTTCCATGACTGTTTCTTAG